ACATAATCACCAGACAATTGGATACTTTTCTGCCAACGATGAACAAGTTATTTGAAGCCGTCGCGGAAGAAGTCGACACTCTGTTTCCACAACCATCGTCTCCCAGTTTTCTCATCCTGGGTACCCATTGTGCACAGATCTTCCGATAGCCAAGCAAAGCAATAATGTGACCCACACGCTCTTGTGAAATGCTGATTATGCTTGAAATCGTCCTGAACCAATTGTCAACCTTTTGCTTGTGAAACTTGGTGGTTGCTGTCACAGGACCTCCAACTCTTCATTTGTCACGCAAGTCAGATGTTCCCACCTGAACATCTTTAAACATATTCGCCCAACGATGCACAGTACTCCCATCAACACAATCACCATATTATTAGTAATATTACATGTAATATAAAATATTTGATGAACAGACATTTGATGAACTTGCTAATATTTTCACAAACCCTCATGGCCTCCAGACATTTGATGATCCAACTATGTGGCAGTGAGTCAAATGCTTTTTTTTTTTTTTTTTGTAATCAATCCATGTTGCATAGAAGATTGTTTTGCGGCCTTTGCAATTCTCCAGTATCATTTTGTCAGTCGCAAGCTGATCCTGTGTGCCCGTCTTCTTCGTCTCCAGCACAGACCCAGACATTTCTTCCCCTATGCGACTTGTAGGGTCTGTCGAAATGCCGTTATAGTGCCCATAAGGATTCATTCCCCTTTCCTCTTCCCCAGTCCGTCAATGAGTTCCTGGAGTCCGTCGGAGCCCCGCTGGAGATCGTGGATGGCTTCATCGACAGCATCGCGGTCACCATCCCCTGGTCTGCCTTAGTCACCGAGAACTGCACCGTGGAAGTGAGCGGTCTGCAGATCACCTGCCGTCCCAAGTACCGGAGTGGTGAGCTTTTGGAGGGTGGCGAACAGAGTGGTGGAGGGGATGGGACACTTAAGAATCATAGAGTTGATAGGCTCCGGAGACGGATAAGGAAGCGCGAGGGCTAGACTGCGCATGTGCGCTTCTTACACATATAATAAAATAATGTATAAATATTACAATTCATATATTTATGACCTCACATGCGTGCTTCTTACACGTATGCTAAAGTAATGTATAAATATTACAATTCATATATTAATGACTGCACATGCGCACTTCTTATACATATGCTAAAATAATGTATAAATATTACAATTCATATATTGATGACTGCGCATGTGCGCTTCTTACACGTATGCTAAAATCATGTATAAATATTACAATTCATATATTGATGACTGCGCATGTGCGCTTCTTACACGTATGCTAAAATCATGTATAAATATTACAATTAATTTATTTATGGCTGCGCATGTGCGCTTCTTACACGTATGCTAAAATCATGTATAAATATTACAATTAATTTATTTATGGCTGCGCATGCGCGCTTCTTATACATCTACTAAAATCATGTATAAATATTACAATTATATTTATGGCTACGCATGCGTGCTTCTTATACATCTACTAAAATAATGTATAAATATTACAATTAATATATTGATGACTGCGCATGCGCGCTTCTTATAATATGCTAAAATAATGTATAAATATTACAATTAATATATTGATGACTGCGCATGCGCACTTCTTATACATATGCTAAAATAATGTATAAATATTACAATTCATATATTGATGACTGCGCATGTGCGCTTCTTACACGTATGCTAAAATCATGTATAAATATTACAATTCATATATTGATGACTGCGCATGTGCGCTTCTTACACGTATGCTAAAATCATGTATAAATATTACAATTCATATATTTATGACTGCGCATGTGCGCTTCTTACACGTATGCTAAAATCATGTATAAATATTACAATTAATTTATTTATGGCTGCGCATGTGCGCTTCTTACACGTATGCTAAAATCATGTATAAATATTACAATTAATTTATTTATGGCTGCGCATGCGTGCTTCTTATACATCTATTAAAATAATGTATAAATATTACAATTATATTTATGGCTACGCATGCGTGCTTCTTATACATCTACTAAAATAATGTATAAATATTACAATTAATATATTGATGACTGCGCATGCGCGCTTCTTATAATATGCTAAAATAATGTATAAATATTACAATTAATATATTGATGACTGCGCATGCGCACTTCTTATACATATGCTAAAATAATGTATAAATATTACAATTCATATATTGATGACTGCGCATGTGCGCTTCTTACACGTATGCTAAAATCATGTATAAATATTACAATTCATATATTGATGACTGCGCATGTGCGCTTCTTACACGTATGCTAAAATCATGTATAAATATTACAATTCATATATTTATGACTGCGCATGTGCGCTTCTTACACGTATGCTAAAATCATGTATAAATATTACAATTAATTTATTTATGGCTGCGCATGTGCGCTTCTTACACGTATGCTAAAATCATGTATAAATATTACAATTAATTTATTTATGGCTGCGCATGCGTGCTTCTTATACATCTATTAAAATAATGTATAAATATTACAATTATATTTATGGCTACGCATGCGTGCTTCTTATACATCTACTAAAATAATGTATAAATATTACAATTAATATATTGATGACTGCGCATGCGCGCTTCTTATAATATGCTAAAATAATGTATAAATATTACAGTTAATATAGTGTCCCTACTTCGTGGATTTTCAGTTATCACGGGTGATCCTGGACCGGAACTCCCGCAATAAGTGAGGGAACACTGTATACATTCTGTATTATTTATTTACCCCACATTTAAGCGACTGTGGATAATGGATGTGTTAGTACCCCCTCATTACATGTGGATTGTTTACATAGAAATACATAAATTTTGTGTAATGTTTAGAAAGAGAAGAAAGGATGAACCTCCAGAGAAGGACACTCCATTGAGGACATTGTGCATATTTTGTTGGATGTGTTCTTTTCCTCCCTATCCTTTCTGTCTCCACAGCCGCCCCCGGCTCAGAGTCGCAAAGCTGGGCATCAT